TAGGAATATTCCTTAATAATTCATATCAGAAACTGACTATACCACACTGTTGAATGAAAATAGCTGGTAATGAAATAGTATTGATGGTGGGGGATAGGAATACACAAACAGACACACACAGTATAGTTTTGGAAGATGTACACCAAAAGCTTAATAGTGGTTATAGGCAGGGTGACACATGAGTGACTTTTCTTCTTTTATTAACTTCTGTTTGTTCTATAAGGATGCTAATTTGTGTAACAAGGAAGACACACTTTTGTTTCTTGAATAATAACTCATCCTAAAAGGATATGATCACCCTTCTCTTTAGGGCCCATTTAATTTTAACTCTGCTTGCTCTCTTTAGTTTCCTTCCCAGTTTCTTTCTTTCTTAGAAGCTTTTTCTTGAAAAAATAAATAATGCATGTCACAGTGTTGAATTCAAATGGATTCTAATGAGTCTGTCTCTCTCTCATGCACAGGACCACTAGTTACCATTCCCAGAGGCAGCCATTGTTTCCAGTTTTCTGCCTGTCTTTTCAGAGAAACTTTATATAAACGAAACTAAAAAATATACATATTTTTATTTTTTCTTATATAATGTTTCTTGCATAAGTGGTAGCATACTTCTACATACTGTCTTGCAGCATGATTTAAATTTTTAAATCTTATTTTTATGAGATATATGCATTACACAATTTACAGAGTTAAATGGTTCTAGAAAAGGCATTTTTGTGAAAAACAGAAGTCTCTGGCACCCACCTTCCCACTTTATCAATCCCACTGTTGCTCATTAATGAGGGCAACCACTGTCAATTTTTAGCATTTTCTTTTGCTGTTCACCTTCATATCTACAATCTACTGTTACTTCTTACCTCGGCAGTTTGAGCCTTATCCATTTGCTTCTGTGCAAGGCAATGATAGCTTTTTCCCCTTTCCCTCTCTCTCTGAGTTTGTCTGTTTTACCAACTCTTCTACATTTTCATTTTGGGTAGTTCCTTCTGAACTTTCACTTCCACAGTTCTCTATTCATCTGTACGTAATGCACAGTTAAACTCATCTACTGAGTTCCTAATTTCAACTGCATTTTTCAGGTTTTCAATTCCCATTTGTTCTCTTTTACACTTTCTAGATCTCTACCAAAATTCTAAATTGTGCCTTTTATTTCCTTGACTATATTAAGCATATTGTAGTTCTATGTTAATTTGTATCCTATGCTTGGTAATTTTAAAATTAACTGTTTGACAGTTAATGAAATGTATATGAAAACTGTAAAGATATTTTGAGGCTTAGAATCATGTTGTCTTCTTCTGGTAAGAACATATATTTGCTTCTAGGAAAGATATGGCGGGACCTAGGAATCCTGGAACTCCTTCATCCAGGCAGAGATTATGAGGTCTGCATTACATCACTTTTGTTTCCAGAATATAGCTTTTCCTAGTCGGAAGCAAAAGTCTGAGAGTTTTACCAAGTTCATTCTTCTTCAGTTTTTATCTCTCTAGACTGTCTTGATTTCAGTGTTTATCTTCTTAGATCAACAAGTTTTCTGAAAGCTCCTTTTAGTTTTCAACCTCTTCTGGTACTATATAGAAAAAGCAGTCATAAATGCTGGGTTTAAATTTCTCAACTTCCTTTTTCTTCTGGGTTGTTGTCACTGGCATTGTTGCTCCATCATTCCCTTAAAATTGTGATTTTTCATATTGTGCCCAGATTTTCTCCCTGTTCTTAAAGGGAAGGAGTTTAGAATGATAGATTGATTGAAAGGGCTTGGTCACTGAGATGCTGAGAGTTGCTATTGGTCAAGCAACTGTCCTACTTCTTAATTTCCCCCTTTGCAGGGAGTGGGGGGTAGGGGGAAGTCTGTGAGAATTTTAAGGCCAGCAGAGTTTGACTATATGAGGGAAGCAGGTTTCTATAACTTACATAGCTCTTACGATTACACAGATCTTAAGATTACCAATAATCCTTTAAGGCTACAAGGAGGTATCTTTCAATAGGGACAATAATGTTCTTTCCGAAAATCACTGCCTTCTCAAGACTCAGTCAAAGGTGTTCAATCAAACACAAGGCATGAAGATAGTTCAATAAAAGGCACTAGGACTGCTCTGAGCACATAGACATGATTTACATGGTGCCAGGAAGCATCTGCACAAATACATGGATAAATAAGCTCCAAGAATCAGAAAGCTAATGAACCTAAACTTTCTAAAGTAAGTTATTTGCTAATAAATCTCTTTTCTTTGGTGTAGAAGAATACATATGGATTCATCAATAAAAATGTTTTATATTTTATAAGCTGGCTTCACTGTCAAAAATTACAGAAACCAATGAAGAGTAAGAAAAAAGGCAGTAATAGTGCTCCCATCTGATAAAGCACTGTACTATGTGGATCAGTAAAATTTGAAATCTTAAGGCCTCTCTGAGTGTGCCTTATTTCTTTTTCTTTCTTACCTAAGAAATATAAAAAATCTTAAGATATAGTGTCATAAAAATTAAAAAGTCTTTCCATAAGCCATTTCACCTAGATCTTTTTGTCTGTCAACATTAATAATCAAAATTACCATTTATTGAATGCTGATGTTTATTTTTCATCAGGCTCTTTCTACCTAGATTATCATGTTTAATCTTCTAGATGCCATTATTAGTTCCACTGAAAGAGAAGGAACCAAAGCTTCGGAAAGATTAAATAATGTGCCCAGAATTAGCACACGCAGAGTCAGGGCTTGATTCCAGATGTGTCTGACTGGACACATACTGTTGATAGTGCAGAACACTGCTTCAGCTCTCGGATACTCAACCACTGTTTGCTGGGTGACCGCCATAAGTAAGACAACTGTGCAAGATGTATGACCATGCTCACCCTCAGATCAATGTTGCCCTTCTCTCCCAGACTCATTTCAATTTAATATCCTAACATCCCAGAGGAGGATTTTTTCCTTCCCAAGCATGAAACAATGCTGCATACAATTTCATCACAACCAACATGTAAAAAAATATCCCAAGTGCCATTCTACAGAGAGCTCTACCGTGTTACAGATGCCTCTCCAGTCTCTTTCCGTTCACTTGTGACAGAGAAGATAAAATGGCACTGAGGAAGAAAATGACTTGCTCCCTGATCAACTTCATCTGATCTTTATGTATGTCAGGATTTCATATCATTAATTCATCTGATCTTTATGTATGTGTGTCAGGATTTCATACTATTAATAAACCTTTACACCATGCTCCTTAACGCATCTGTCTTTTCTTATTACATAAAAGTGTGTTTCATTTTGTACTAGCTTATTATTGAGGATGACTGTCTACTGTCAGTGCACAAACAGGTAGAATAAATTCTTCAGTTTATAATGACAATGACAGGCATCCCTTAAGAGTAACACGAGTTGGTGTCTTAGTAGACACCAATGTAGACTGCTATAACAGAATACTATACTGGGTGGTTTACAAACAACAGAAATTTATTTCTCACTGTTCTGGTTGGTAGTCTGAGATTAGAGTGTCAATACAGTCAGGTTCTGGTGTGAGGTCTCTTCCAGGTTGTAGACAGCCATTTTTTTCTTTGTATCCTTAAGTGATGGAGAGGGTGAAAGAGCTCTCCAGAGTCTCTTTTATGAGGGCACTAATCTCATTCATGATGATTCTATCCTCATGACCTATTTACCTTCCAAAAACTTCACCTCCTAATACCATCACATTGAGGGTTAGGATTTCAATACATGAATTGGTGATGGTGGGGGTGGGGGGGGTGGCACAGAGCACAAACATTTAGTCCACTGCAGCTCTGCTTATGGTGATGCTGGTGAAGGGGAAGAAGTTATAGATTTGTCTGGAGGAGGGAAAATAGAACTTGAAATAAAAAAGCCACATTTGATCCATATGAAGGAAATTTTGCCTTAATCTCCCTCTGTGGTGACAAGTATTAAGTGTATGCCTGAATAATAACTAATGAGCAAAAACAATTTGCTAAAGCTTATTAAGAGCTGGAATAGGCAGAATGAAGATGGAAAGGCTTATAAAGCATGCAGGAATCCAATATATTTTTCTTTTATTTTCTGGCTAGCTCTTTCGTGACAAGGAAATCAAGCCTCCTTTCATTCTGGTTTGAGCTTATACTTGAACTAATCATATTTAATCAGCAGAGCTATCACTCTAAATTCAGGGAAGGTGCTGACCCATCATGTAATCAATAGCTTTCCTTTTCCTAGAGTGGTTTATAATCAGTATGACCTGCTGGAATCTGTCTTATGAGTTTCACATTTAGCTATACCAAAGTAAAAAAAGTCTCAAGTGAGGGTCAGCATGAGGGGCTTACAGCTGTCTGCCAAGTACAAACCTTTGCTTCTGGAAGCCTCTTGATATCACTACCATTGGTATCCTCTTGTGACTGAAAGAGTCACTTGGTAAGGCTTAGGAAGAGCGTGATTCATTTTGGGATGGCTATGACTTTTACATGGTAAGAGAGAAGATGCCCATCTTGATAAACTAGGATGTTATTGTCTTATTATCTTATTCCTATGAGTTTATTCTATAGATTTTGTTCACAATTAAGGCTAAGACATAAGAACTCTGCTCTCTCATAAAGATACATTTTATCGTCCTTTTTTCGGTGCTCACTGGTAATATGTAAAACATTATAAAAAATAGTTAAGAGGCTATAAATCAATGAGTTTAAGTGTTAAAACATGTCTTTTACTTTAATACACAGAAAAAAGATAATACTTTGAAAAAATGAAAAGCCATAGTTGTCTCCATGTCTTAGCAATTGTAAACAATGCTGCTATAAACATAGGAGTGAGTGTGTCTTTTTTAATTATTGTTTTTTTTTTTTTTGAGACATACCCAGGAGTGGGTTATAATAAAGAGGAACTAGGGATGAGACTAACACAGTTTATGCAGTTGAACTACGTAAATCTCTGCTTCTGTAGATCATTTTCAAAGACATGTTGCTGAAATAAGGCCACTGCCTCTAAGATACAGGCAAAGCTGTGTTTTCATTATGTGACAGCTCACAATCTACTCACCATGTATGCCTTGAATAATGCGGGGATGAAGGACTGGTTAGACAAGTTGAGAACCCTGAGCGAGTCCTTCAGGACGTAGATATTGCCAAAATCAACTTGACTGGGATGTACATAGATAACTGGGCCTTCTCCGATGCTCTTTAAGTGACATACCTGCAGTCCATGCAAGAGAAATAATATAGGAATGGCTGAAATGGTGGGCCTTTAAAATCAGATTGAAACAGAAGCTTCTAAGCATCCCTTTAAAAAAGCAGGGGCATAAAAGGTTACTATTAGAACTGACAGTCCTTCTCCCTGATATTCTGTAGTGAAAGGTCACCAGGATGGCCCCTCTGATCAGACCCATGAATCTAGCATGGAATTCCTCCCTTAAAATAAAGCTTTGCTTCCCTGGGTCAGCCCAGAGCCACGCACAGGTGGGAAGCCAGAATAACAGTTCAGTATGAGCCACCAGAACTCCAGTCTCAGGAACACTTAAGGGTTAAAGACCAGCACTTCAGGGCTGGATGTGGCTGGACCGCGTCCCAGTCCTTTTGCTATCCTAGCAACATGACAGGGGCGCCCACCATGCAAAGCTGTGCAGGTTGGGAACTGAAATTCACCTTGCTCTCCCTTCCCTTCCCCTATGCTCTCGGCCAGGCACTCTGTCTGCCCAAGGAAGGGGGTCTTTGTCTTTCATAAAGTGTTTCCTGCTCAGCCAAGTTACATCTGCTACATCTGTGCAGGGCAGGCGTGTAGGCCAGCAGGTTACCTGGACTGTGGCACCTTTCAGCTGGCTGGCCTTATGATGCTGCTTTGTAAGTCAGATGGCTTATCTATGTGATCTCATATGGAAGAGATAAAAGCAAAACCCTAGTTTATTATACTCTCTGAGCAATCAGAATCACTTCAAACAAACGTATGTTGACACCACTCAGCTTCTAAGTAAATCCAATGTCTAGGAATTCATAGCCTACTGGGGCAAATTCCTTCAAGGTTCGTCCTTTGATTCAGCTCAAGCAGCAAAAAGCTTTCCATGTCTCCCTTTTCTCAGGCTTGGAGTAAGTAAGGTTAATCGGTAATACAAGTCCAAGAATATAATAGGATATACTGCAGCATATAGTTGTGTATACATATCCAATAATCTACAAGAAAAGATCTGGTGAGCAGTGAAGGAAATCAATCTCAGAGACCACATGTAGCAAGCTAGGGATACCCAGCTTTGTAGCAGGAACAATTGAGAAGGGGGTTAATCATCCAGGTGTGCTGGTCCTCTGTCCTCAGAGATTCTGGTTTCATGGGTCTGGAGAGGAGTCAGGTGTGTCTGCATGTGTGAGAAAAATCAATAGCTATAAAGCACCATTTTCAGATGTATCCACAGATTCCCGAAGTAATAGCCCTGGTATTTTACCACTGCAGAGAGAAAATGAAAGACTCCTTCTAGAGTCTTCTAACCAGTAACTAGAGGATATGCAAATATGGTGAGTACCTTACAAGCAAAGGTTAGAATGTCCCACAAGAAGTACGGCACTTAGAACTGCAATTCTGAAAACAGGCACTCACCATCGGGGGATCCTGGCTCCCAAAGATTGAGATGTAAACTGTGGACCTGTATTCCCCAGGGACTTGGGTCTCCAGGGTCACAGGTATGTGAACTGTGCTGTGTGGAGCGATGATGCCACAGGGCGTGGGACTAGAGAGCAGCACAGTGGGCACATCCTGATACACCTGGTCAGGGAGAGAAGCTAGAAGGATAAGCAAGCCCCAGGTTCAGTATGAAACCAGTAGCACGTTACATTATTTTGAAACAAGCATTGTCCTGAATCCACAGAGGGTCTTATAATGTACCATTGTTAAAGCAAGTGAATGGGGATGACCACCTCAATTTAACCAAAAGGAACTCTGGCTAAGAGAGGTGTACAAGCCCCAAATCCAAAGTGTGTGACCCAGAAAAGTGCAGAATCATCCACAATGTGAATTAGCTCAGGAACAATGGTTTCCCATGGCCAAATTCCTTGAACAGGTCTTTTGCACCTTCATGCTTTAATCCCCGTCCACTTCACCGCTGTACATTCGATCAGTAGAGGGCACTGGCATTCCTGAACACATGATACTGCTTTCACCTCCAACCCCTTGCACTTGCAGTTATTCTTTCTGCAATGCCTGTACCCTCTGACCTGCCCCCCACTCATCCTGAAACCCCCAGGGGTGTCTGGGCCCTAAAGTCCAGGCACTTCCTCTGTTCTCAGGGAGCATCCCTCAGTCCCTTTCCTCAGCATGTGCTATCAACATGTCCATCTTCTCCAAGGGCTATAAACGTCTTAGGGCATGACCTGAGCCTCTCTCCTCAATACCTGCCCACTTTCTGGCCCAAAACACATGCTCAGTATATGTTTTTTAAATGGAAAAAACAGGTAGGTGAATGAATGAACGTTGTCCATTGTTTACTAGTGCGTGTTCCTAAGAACCTTGTTCTGCAGCACATTACTAAGTTTTTATGTAACACAAATAAAACTTTAAAAATCCCACGGTCAGAGCCCACACCCAAGCCACTGCCTGGGGCGCTCAGTCATCCACCTGGACACCGGAGCAGGCTGCCAGGCCACCATCACAGTTGTTCAGGTTTGAAAGAAGCCACAACATACAACTCTAAGCCACAGACATACAAGAGGGACATTTCCTTAAACACAGTCATCCCTGAACAAGATCAAGTCTGCACCTTTGGAGTGGGAGCACTGACTCCAAGACCCGAGACTAGCAGAGAACTAACCCTAGTGGGTATCAAATAGTGAGAACGCACACAAAGGAAACCACCTGAACACAAGCCCTGGCATCACTCAACCACCAGTAGCACCCTGGGCAGGACGCCTCATCCAAACAAAAATACAAACCCAATCATCAGCAGACAGGACTACCACCTCACTCAGCCTTGCCCATCAGAGGAAAAACAAACAAACAAAAACTCAACAGAAATCTCACCCTATAAGAAGCTTACACAAACCACTAGACCAACCTTAGGAGGGCAGAACCAAAAGGAAGGAAGAATTCAACCTTGAAGCCTGGAAAAAGGAGACCTCAAACATAGTAAGTTAAAAAAAAACTAACGAAAAGGCAGTGAAATACTACACAAATGAAGGAACAAACTAGAAACACAGAAGTCCAAATAAATGAAGAGGAAATAGGCAAACTATCTGAAAAATAATTCAGAATAATGATAGTAAAGATGATCAAAAACCTTGAAAACAAAATGGAAAAAGTGCAAGGATCAATTAACAAAGACCTAGAAGAATTAAAGAATAAACATGCAGAGACAAAAAACACAATTACTGAAATCAAAAATAGTCTAGAAGGAATCAATAGCAGAATATCTGAAGCAGAAGAATGAATCAGTGAGTTGGAAGATAAAATGGTGGAAATAACTTCTGAAGAGCAGAATAAAGTAAAAAGAATGAAAAGAACTGAGGACAGTCTCAGAGACCTCTGGGACAACATTAAATGCACCATCATTTGAATTATAGGGGTCCCAGAAGAAGAAGAGAAAAAGAAAGGATATGAGAAAATTTTTGAAGAGATTATAGTTGAAAATTTTCCCAACATGGAAAAGGAAATAGTCAATCAAGTCCAACAGGCACAGAGTCCCTTGAAGAGATTATAGTCAAAAACTTCCCCAACATGGAAAAGGAAATAGTCAATAAAGTCCAACAGGCACAGAGTCCCATACAGGATAAACCCAAGGAGAAACACGCCAAGTCACATACTAATCAAACTAACAAAGACTAAACACAAAGAAAGACTATTAAAAGCAGCAAGGGAGAAGCAACAAGTAACATACAAGGGAAACCCCATACGCTTAACAGCTGATCTTTCAGCAGAAACTCTGCAGGCCAGAAGGGAATGGCAGGATATATTTAAAGTACTCAAAGGGAAAAATCTACAACCAAGATTACTGTACCCAACAAGGATCTCATTCAAAACTGAGGGAGAAATAAAAAACTTTTCAGACAAGCAAAAGTTAAGAGAATTCAGTACCACCAAACCAGCTTTACAACAAATGTCAAAGGGACTTAAATAGTCAAGAAATACAAAAGAAAAAGATCTACAAAAATCAACCCCAAACATTTAAGAAAATGGCAATAGGAATATATATATCAATAATTACTTTAAATGTAAATGGATTAAATGCTCCAACCAAAAGACACAGACTGGCTGAATGGATACAAAAATAAGACCCATATATATATACACGCTGTCTACAAGAAACCCACTTCAGACCTAAAGACACACATAGACTGAAAGTGAGAGGATGGAAAAATATATTCCATGCAAATGGGAAGCAAAAGAAATCTGGAGTAGCAATCCTCATATCAGACAAAATAGATCTTAAAATAAAAAAGAGTACAAGAGATAAGGAGGGACACTAAATAATGATCAAGGGATCAATCCAAGAGGAAGACATAACAATTGTAAATATCTATGCACCCAACATAGAAGCATCTCAATACATAACACAAACACTAATAGACATAAAAGAAGAAACTGACAGTAACACAATAATAGTAGGAGACTTTAACACCCCACTCACACCAAAGGACAGATCATCAAAACAGAAAATTAATAAGGAAACATAAGGCTTAAATTATACATCAGATGAGATGGATCTCATTGATATCTTCAGGACATTTCATCCAAATGGAGAAGAATACACCTTCTTCTCAAGTGCACATGGAACATTCTCCAGGATAGACCACATCTTGGGTCACAAATCAAACCTCAGTAAATTTAAGAAAATTTAAATTGTATCAAACATTTTCTCCGACCACAACACTATGAGACTAGATATCAATTACAAGAAATAAACTGTAAGAAACACAAACACATGGAGATTGAACAACACATTTCTAAAGAACCAACAGGTTACTGAAGAAATCAAAAGGGAAATCAAAAAATTTCTCGAAACAAATTACAATGAAAACACAACTCAAAACCTATGTGATGTAGCAAAAGCAGTTCTAAGAGGGAAGTTTCTAGCCACACAATCCTACCTCAAGACACAAGAAAAACATTGAATAGACACCCTAACTTTACACCTCAAACAACTGGAAAAATGAAGAAAAAAGACCCACAATTAGTAGAAGGAAAGAAATTATAAAGAACTGAGCAGAAAGAAATGAAAAAGAAATGAAAGAAACCATAGTAAAGATTAATAAAACTAAAAGATGGTTCTTTGAGAAGATAAACAAAATTTACAAGCCTTCAGCCAAACTCATCAAGAAAAAAGAGAGAAGAATCAGATTAACAAAACTAGAAATGAAAAAGGAGAGGTTACAACAGACAATGCAGAAATACAAAGGATTATCAGAGACTATTATGAACAACTGCTGCTGCTGCTAAGCTGCTAAGTCACTTCAGTCGTGTCCGACTCTGTGCAACCCCAGAGATGGCAGCCCACCAGGCTCCCCTGTTCCTGGGATTCTCCAGGCAAGAACATTGGAGTGGGTTGCTATTTCCTGCTCCAATGCATGAAAGTGAAAAGTGAAAGTGAAGTCGCTCAGTCGGGTCCAACTCTTAGCAACCCCATGGACTGTAGCCTACCAGGCTCCTCCGTCCATGGGGTTTTCTATACTTATGAACAACTATATGGCAATAAAATGGAAAACCTGGAAGAAATGCAAAGATTCTTAGAAAAGTTCAATTTTCCAAGACTGAACCAGAAAGAAATAGAAATTATGAACAACCCAATTACAAGCACTGAAATTGAAGCTGTGATCAAACATCTCCCCCAAAACAAAGGTCCAGGACCAGATGGCTTCACAGGAGAATTCTATCAAACATAAAGAGAAGAGCTAATGCCTATCCTTCTAAAATGCTTTCAAAAAATTGCAGAGGAAGGGACACTTCTAAACTCATTCTACAAGGCCACCATCACCCTGATACCAAAACCAGACAAGGACAACACAAAAAAAGAAAGCTACAGGGCAATATCACTGATGAACATAGATGCAAAAATCCTCAATAAAATTTTAGCAAACAGAATTCAGCAACACATCAAAAAGCTCATACACCATGATCAAGTTGGGTTTATTCCAGGAACGCAAGGAGTCTTCAATATACCCAAATCAATCAATGTGATAACTATATTAACAAACTGAAAGATAAAAACCAAATGATAATCTCAATAGATGCAGAAAAAGCCTTTGACAAAATTCAGCACCATTTATGATTAAAACTCTTCAAAAAATGGGCATAGAAGGACCCTACCTCAACATAGTAAAGGCCATATATATAAGCCTACCGCAAACATTATTCTAGTGAGAAACTGAAAGCATTCCCCCTAAGATCAGGAACAAGACAAGGGTGTCCACTCTCACCACTATTATTCAACACAGTTCTGGAAGTCCTAGCTACAGCAGTCAGAGAAGAAAAAGAAATAAAAGGAATCCAGATCAGAAAAGAAAAAGTAAAGCTCTCACAGATGACATGATACTATACATAGAAAACCCTAAAGATAGTATCAGAAAATTAATAGAGCTAATCAGTGAATTTAGCAGTTACAGGATACAAAATCAATACACAGAAATTACTTGCATTTCTATATACTAACAATGAAATATCAGAAAGAGAAATTAAGGAATCTATCCCATTCACCATTGCAACAAAAATAATTAAATATCTAGGAATAAAGTTACCTAAGGAGACAAAAGAACTGTACACAGAAAATTATAAGACACTAATGAAAGGAATCAAAGATGACATAAACAGACGGAGAGATATTCCATGTTCCCGGGTAGGAAGAATAAA